TCAATTCAACAAAAATTTGGTACACTTTTTTGGACTTTTAACCAGGAAAATGGTTAATTTTTTTTAACCAGACTTGTGTAGGTGGATTTTTAACCCCGTACTGGTTGAATTAACCCAAATTTAACCAGAGTGTTTTTAGAGTGTAGCATATATGCCTCTTTCTTTGTCCACTGTGCTCATTGCTCTTAGAAACGCTTTTTTTGGTTTGGGTGTTTAACACAGAGGTGGACTGTGGAAAAAGTGCATGTCGAAACCTGGGAACCTGGTTCTTTTTTGTGGTCTATCCATTGTACTTGATTAACCATAACAAAGATTGGCTAGGGAAAAGGTGATGCGGAAACAAGCGCAACTTGCTGCAGCAAGGCAAGAACAGGCAGTTGATCAGGACGCAATGGAGGGACGCTACCTCTAAAGTCTAAAGGTACGAAATGGGTACGAGAATGTGACATTGCCTACCACCACAAAAATACAATCTACAGGTATGCCCCTTAACGGCTGTGACGTCATGGACTTCTGCCAAACGGAAGTCAGTATGCATGCATAATACATCTGCCGTTAACCTTGCAAAGTTAGGTAAAATCCGTTTAACCACATCACACCCGTTTTCAAAATTACGCGACCAGGCTGAGAATTAGGTAGAATTGACATGTCAGTTTTATGTCACACGGCCACGAAGTTCAAATTGTTTACAAAAATTACAACTTTGAGTTTTGTGCTTCGTTATCGATGTATATATATCCTTTATATGAAAAAGTTTAGAAGGATTTTCAAGATGTTTTAGCGATAATTATTGCAAAATTTAAGCACAAAAAATACAGTTTAAATCATACAGTAGTATTACCGCTATAGTCTAGCGCAAGCGGGAATTTAAATTCGAGGCTAAATTGCTCTTCTTCAACCTTAAAAAGTCATTGTTGTCATGCTTTGGTGTTTAAGTTTTTATATCTAGCTCATTTTGGTTCAATATTCGTGTTAAATACGGTTTAAAATATCTTTTGTTTACGTTTGCTATTTTTAGCAGTCGGCGCGATATAAAACTGACATTTGAACTAAGATTATTTTCGGGGAGGTCACGTAAACGAGGTTTAAACGCAGCTCGCACACCTGTATTATGTTGTTGAGATAGTCTTGTAACTTGTTGATGTTGAGGCTTGCTAGGTGCTCTTTCTGTAGGTTGGTTCTCCAATGGTTTCAGATATACTGCGCTCGTAGCTTTAGACATACTGCTTGCTGGAGGTGTTGTAACTTCACTGGCTGGCATCAGGGCATCTGCAGCCTGGTAACAAAATCAATAACATGAGAAATTTAGAATGGTAGGCCAAACAAGGATACGGTTTTCGGCGAGGTATAATATCAGTCATGTTTTCACTCGTTACTCTGGTTTTAATAAATAAACGCAAAGCCCAGTCGGACTGCGTGGGAAAACTCTAGACTCATTACCACTAACAGTATGGTCAAAGACGTTGCCTATAGAAGCGTGATATAAAAATATGAGTAATCATTGAATAGGGATGACGGGGCTTATTTGCCACAGGATGTCATCCAGGCAGATGATGTCATCCCATGGGTATATGAGAAGCCGCGCTGCGACTTCAGATCCTGATGAAGGGACTAGACTGGAGTGTCGAAACATTGGGTCGTGAATGCAATTTGACTGGGCTTTCCATTCATTTGTTAAAACCAGAGTAACGAGCGAAAACATGAAGGATACGGGTGTCACAAATCTTTAGCCAGTCTGAACTAAACTCTAGGGGAAGCGGTTTCGCTCTGTGGGGGGTTGACAATTATTGTTCGAGACAGAATTCAAAATGGCTGGAAATTTTCAACGTAATGTTTATATTCGTTTTACAAAAAGTTAAAATGATATATAATTTCAAACTGTGAGATTATTAAGTATTAACAGTTGGTACACTACTCCGCACTTACTGAATAACTCTTCCTCAGCCTCTTTGGCGGGGTTTCCTAAAAATGAAACACACAAGTATAGAGACTGTTACACAGTTATTGAACTATCATTCAGAGAGTATTGGGGGCGGGGCCTCCCTAGTGTCCGCCATCGGGTTCATATAATATCGCAGACGTTTGGCTCTGACCCCAGAATGGTATCCGCTAACGAGAGGCGTCTGCTTAGGGAGGTTGAACTGTACAGCGAATGGGTATTAGCTACAGGGTGTTAGCTACAGTAAAAAATTCGGCGTTACACGCCGTTTTCACAATTACGTTTAGCTAGCAATTTCACAATTTAGATCAGCCGAAAACGTAACTATTGTATATATAAAAGATTGTTCAACTTCAAACCTTTGGTCAAGAAAATTGGGTATCATATAAATGTTGGGACGATGTCATCTAAAATATATATTTGTCTGTTTTAAGTACGCAAAACAATGCGCGGTGACTTGCACTTCAAAAGTTTCAATTGAGCTCAGATGGCGCAAGCCACAAGAACGTCACTTAAGAAACACGATATTCCTTAAATCCGGTCTGAATGTCGCAGACTAAACTAAATAACTAAATTCCAATTTTTATTAAATTGCCGAATTTTTTAATCTTCTAGCTAACACCCTGGGTCCGTGTCGTTGGCTTACCTCTTCTTCTACGTCACCAAGCCTATTCATTGTGCCGGTCTAGAAAAGATTGAACTATTTCAGTCGCTTGCAGTATTGCTTCACATCTGTGGAGTATTGTGGATGGTTATTCTACAAATTAATGCTTCAAAGAAATAAGTACCACTTACCAAATCATCATCAGTGTAATCAATGTCTGAATATGTTGGCGATAACTGGGACGCATCTGGTTCACGAGGCCTAAAAATAACACAATGACTTAAACAGGAAAGTTACTGTAAGATTCGAATGTTTCTGAAAGGTTAAAAAAACTTTTTCATGTTAAAAGTTTTTTCAGCTTATACTTATATAAACCATATACACTAGTAATTTTCATATCACACCAGGGTCTTAGCTAGAAGGCCGTGTTGGCCGTGTTATCGCGGCCAAAAATGTAAAAACACGGCTAGATGAAATGAACGCGGCTTCATTATTTAGTTTTGGCCGTGCATGTACGTTTATAAAATAAGGTGTTGCTACTTACAACGTACAGAATTTCTTTGTAAAATCTACTGTAGTTGTTGAAATTGGTAAAAGTGATCCGTGATGTTTTAATGTTTTCATGGATAATGGGCACCGTAGTATTGTTAAAATGGTTTTAAATGCCCCATGAGTTGCTAAACTACTGTAATTTATTATAATGTCAGTGCGAAATATGAGCATTTGCCCGCCTTGTATTCGGTATAGAACAACATATTCAGCATAGAACAACCATAGGTATAGCCTATTGTTGACAAGCATAACTGGAGCCGTGTTTTTGGCTATTGAAGGCAATTGACAAGGGCACACCCTGGAAATTTAGAAACACACCCAAACTATAAAATGCTAGCTAAGACCCTGTATCACACATGCGATCTTATAGCTTGTCATGATCAAAAACAGCAGAAAAAGGTTATATAACTAGGAGGGGGGGGGGGGGGGGGGGATAATTTTCCAACAAGAGGGCACTCGGAAACAACATCTTGCACCTCAGCCAACAAATTAAGTTGTTTATCATGCATAAATTATACAATGGACTTATCAGCATTTGTTCGCCCCCCCAAAAATATTATGCACCCCGTCAGAAAGTTTTCCCACCCCACCTCAAGAAATTTCAAATTTGCTCCCACGCCCAGAAAATCAGAAATGCATGGATTAAATGACAGTAGACAAGACAATTTATGCAGTACCGTTAATAATACATAGTAATAAATATAAAATTAGGATAAAGTTACAAAAAGAAGGTACTAAGCTACCCCACTAGCGACTGCGCTACGCGCCCCTTCGCTCACCTCCCCCTGAATTTTCGGCACCCTGAATAGTCTGATTGAATAAAGATTTAGAACTAAAGACTACAAACAAGGATTTTGAACCACATAAGACCAAAAAATCTCAACATTGCATGGGGCTTCGTAGCCCCCTTACGCACGGATCTACCCCACTAGCGACTACGCTACGCGCCCCATCGCTCACCTCCCCCTGAATTTTCGGCTCCCCCGCAGAGCAAAATCTGAAAAAGTGAAAATCTGTCTATCTGCTTCCCTCTATGCGAGCGTGATGCGAGTTTACTCTGCTTCTTTACTCTGCTAATTTCCATCCAAATTTAACAAAAATGTAATCAATTTGGCAATGTCCGTTAGTGCCATATATAGTCAATATAGATTTACTGAAACGCAGGAAGGAAGGAAGGAAGGAAGGAAGGAAGACAGTAAACTAATGTGGAACGCTACGTCCAACACTTGAAATTTGAAACCAAACTCGAAGGCCAGTCCCAGTCCACGCATGCGAAGAGCACGGTCAGGCCGTTAACATGTATGAGAATGTATTCTTGAGAACCGGCAGACCGGCTTAAAATTTACAATAAACAACGCTGTTTAATTAACAGCGCTGAAAACTTTCTATTCAAGCATTTATTCAAGTAAAGCAGCCTAGTAGACTTTACCGTTTTAGTTTTCTCTTATTAATTAAACCCGCATGCTCGCTCCCTGAACTATAAACACGAACATAAACACGCGGGTCTTAAAGCCCAGGCACGCGTGTCCGGGAGTCAGATTTGGCTTCAAGAAAAGATAGTTCCAGTTATATTCATTTCATTACTTTATGCAGAGAGGTCGGGAGAGGGGGCTTAATACATTTCCTGCTCAGAAAATAGGGTTTATTTGAGAGGAAACGTATTAAGTAGGAGGTACGCCGGGTGCGATAATTCGCGTACTTATAGTAGGTACCGGAGGTATGCCAATATTACAGTCTGGTACTTCTTTATTTTCAACGACGTACCACGTAAGTACGCGGAACTGTTGCTATCTGCGTACTTAATTTTTGCTGGTACCATGTGACCTTTCCAAGCCCAAGGTATTTAATACCGTAATTTAGTTGGTATATATATCACGAGTCTGACATATGTCTTGGGCAAAACACGATTGGACTGATGGCACTAAGAAATGTTGGAGTCGAATTTTTGTATATGCAATTGTGCTTCTCGTTTTAACCCGTAGTTTGGATATACTTTTCAGTCCCTGTACCTTATGTACTTTATTTTAAAGACTACAGTACTGTAAGTACACAATGACTATTGAGTACCAGCGCAAGTACACGGCAATAATCATTGGCGCTCCAGTCAGGAAAGACTAAAAATCTTAAATTATCGCATCCTGGTACGGCAATCTTTGCGGCCCACTGTACACTACCCAATGACAAGTTGAGGAAGGAAAGCGTCTTGTTACAGTTCTAGTGTACAGTAACCTTTTCTATGAAAAGTACAAAAAATCTGTGCAAGGATAATTATGGTAATTACAGGTACCGAGGTAAGGTACAGTAATTAGGACAATTACAACACCAGAGTCTGCATACCTTTTCACAGGGCTATTTTTGATAGTTTCTTGTTGACAGTGACTAATTTGGGTTAATAATTTCACTTCATTATCCTTCAATCTGTTTCTAGCATCTTCGTCATTTAGTAATTCTTTAATTAACGCAACTTGACTTTCCTAAAGCAAAGAAGTAGTAGTTCAAACGTTCACAAAAACAAAGATGCACTGTATCATAGAAGCATAATTCAAATTGGTTGATAGAATGTTACGGTACAGCCTTGTTACACGGTTATTCAGCTGTGATTTAAAGGATTTCAAAAATTATTGGGGGGGGGGGGGGGGGCCCCCCCCCTTTT